GATCTGATCCAAATCTAGGACAGAGGCTGGAGACTTTGGTGAGCTTGGGGCACCTTGTAGTGACAGAGTGGAGGTGCTCGACACACACAGTCACGGTTACACACACACACCAAACAGATGCGGACGTGCACACACCTCCATGTACACACACACAGGATACACACCTGCGCACTCGTGCACACGCATGTACACGCATACACAATACTCACACGTACCACATCATGTGGGACGGACACAGACACACCCACACTGCACACGCCACACCACACCACACATATACACGAGGGTCATGTGACAAGGACAGCCGCCAACCGACAGACCCCTCCCTCAGGGAGGACACCCCGCCACCGTGGTGTGAGGCACAGGGCTGCCTTCCTCCCCGGCCGCAGACAAGGCTGAGGTGGGAACAGCAGGTGGCCACGGCCAACCCCAGGCCAGGTCCCACTGACCACGACATGAGGAGACGGCGTTTCACCTCAGAGTGCCGCCTCGAACCCAGGACCTCAACCCAGTCATGAGAAAGCCACAGGAACCCCGACTGAGGGTCATTTTACAAATCCCTGCCCACCGCGCCTAAAACTGTCACAGTCGTAACAAACAAGGACAGAGGAGCCAGAGGACGGAAGGTCATGGAGATGATCCAGGCCAGAAAAGGATTACAAATTTAGGTTACAAACTAAGGAAACCTGAGCAAATGCGGACTTGGGCTCACTGCAGGTAGCTCATCAGTAAGGCTCGCTGATTATGGCAGTGTACCATGCAGCATCATGACAGGGAGCTGTGTGTGCGTCTGTGTGCCAGTGGGTGCTGTTAGTGACCAACCCAGTGCCTTCTCACTGAGCTACGCGCCATGCCCATCCCTTTCTGGAATTTTTATTTTGAAACAGGATCTTGCCGATTTGCTAAATTGCCCAGATTGAGCTCCAATCTGTGATCCTCCTGTCTCAGTGTCCCAGAGTGCCGGGGTTACAGATGTGTACCCCTGCACCTGGCGTGTATCGGAGCCCTCCATCCTGCCTTGGCAATTTTGGGGGATACCTAAAACTGTTGTAAAATAAAAAGTCTACTTTTTTTTAAAAAGTTTTGGAGCTGGGCATGGTGTCATACACCCATAATCCCAGCACTTGGGAAGCTGAGGCAGGAGAATTGCTTTGAGTTTGAGAGCAGCATGAGCTAAATAATACGTGCAGGGCCAATGTGAACTACATAGCAAGACCTGGTCTCAAAAACAAATTTGCCTATGCCAGTTCAGTGGCTCATACTTGTAATTCCAGAATTCTGGGAGGCTGAGGCAGGAGAATCATAAATTCAAGCCCAGCCTGGGAAACTTAGCAAGTTTGTGGCACCCTGTCTCAAAATTAAAACACAGCACAATAAAACAAAAGGCCCAGGGTTCAATCACAAGTACTGCCAAAAAAAAAAAAGGTTTTGCCTCACCAGAAAATATAATAAACAATGGTATAAAATTTCCCCTAAACTGATTTATTCATTCAACAAAACTGTACTGAGCCCTTTCCTCCTTGGGACGCTGCCAATCCTTGGGGACACAGCAATGACCAACATACCAGGCCCTGTCTTGAGAAGCTGAGACTCTGCCACCTACCAAGGCACACCCAGCATCCGAGGGACAAGATAAGTGATGAATGTTTACCAGGAAAATATATTCCAAGTCACAAACCCCAAAACTACACACTGCCAGCGACATAAAGACCCTATAGCACTGCAGAACGCAGAGCAGGAGTCCCCTTCATCAAGGGTAAGGGCAATAAACAGCCTGCCCTTGGGGAGGCACACAAGCAATCTCAGGCACAAAAGCACCTAACTTCTCCAGCTAATGGCTTAAAATGCCAGCACACACCCGCTCAGCCACCAAAGAGGAACAGTAAAAAACTCAAAGGAGGCCGTGCTGAGAGGGTAGAGGAACGGGGGGGGGTGCACCACCAACTGCCTCGACTTTTTATTCTTTGGGGAAGGAACTCGGGGCCTCACACATGCTAGGCAAGTGCTCACCACTGAGCTACGCCTTCAGACCCACTTCGACCTTTTCATTGCTAAGGAAACATTATTCATGACTCCTGTTACAGACAGGAAGGAAGTCTGCACAGAGGGGGCCGGTACAGTGGGGTTTTATAGCACAGGAGAGACAGGGCTCAATCTGACTCCAACAGAGACAAGCTGCACAACCTCGCCCGAGGAACAGGGTGGGGTCCGAGAATTACTAAGAGAAAGCATCAAGGCCAGGGGCATTCTTGCTGGACCACTCCCCAGGATCCCTGCTGCAAGTAGAGACAGGGAGATGGGAGACCGAAGTGAGGGAGGCGGGCAAGGAATCTGCTCAGATCCCAAGGGTGGTGATCAGACAGGATTTCTGGATTTTTGCCAAATCAACTAGCAAGAGGCTACGCTTAGGCTCGATGAGCCAGGACAGAGGCCAAGGTCCAGGCCTTGAAGACACAGAAGAGGCTAACTAGAGATAGCTCAAGGAGATATAGTCTTGTCATCTAAGCCGGCCCACTGGCAGGAACCCGAACCCCTAAAGTCGTTTGTCCAGTGCCCTCTCTAAGAACTGCCCCCCAAAGAAGTAAATGTAATGGAAAAGAAGGAAAGGAAAAGGAGTCAGGGATGGCACGTCGTGTACAGCTGCACTATTTTGTAAAGAAAAAGCTCTCTGTAGTCCCAAAGCCCAATAGCATCCTAAGTGATCAAGGCTGGCAAATTGGCGGTATGCAGAAGTGGTTAGAAGTAGTTAAATGTGGGTTCAAGTTCAGCCCCTCCACTCACTGAATGGCCTTAACCTCCTCTCTCCACCTCGGTTTCCCAGCTGCAAAGCAAGGGTATCCCTAAGTGCCACCGGCAAGCTCAGAGCAGCATGAGATCCTGGGTCGAGCCTGCTGCCTGGTCTATAGGAAAAGCCTGGAACCAGCAGCTACAACCATCCACGGCGCACTCTGAGGCGAGGAAGGAAGTGGAACGAAGACGTGAATGAGGTGCAAAGCCAGAACAAGGGACAAGTTGGTCAAGCACAGCAAAAAGGTCCTGAGGACAGCAGGAGCAGACTCTCACACTACACCCAGGCGGGCGGGAGGGGATGAGTAGGGTGAGGGCAGCACGAGAAACTGCAGGGTGACAACTTGCACCTGGGCATGCATGTTCCACCGAGCCCAGGGCTAGCCCCAAATGTACAGCTCTGCCCTCTCAGCCAGACCCGGACCAGGCGTCGGCTCCCAGCTTTCCTGTCCCCACCAGGCACCTGGCACAGCCTATCTGGCCCCTTCCTGCACCCAGAAATGCCTCCAGCCCTGGGATTCTGTTATCAGCTGGGACACAGTACCACTGAGAGTGACAGCGAGCCCTCTGCAAGGGAAGCAAACTACAGCAGGGCTGTGCTGGAGTCTCCCAAGAAGATGAGCCTAGGGCCAAGCTGCCCAGTGCTGGCTGGGGGGTACGCTGTTCAAGACACCCTAGGGATCCTTTCAGCCACCCCCACCATGCCAGGGAGCTCCCAGCACCCTTGGCACTGGGGGCACCAAAGGGAGGAAGAATCAGAAAAGAGTGAGGCTGTGTTCTGCGGCAAGAGCCTGGGTGTTGTCACATTTCTGCTGCTTCCATCCCATTGGCCAGGACATGGTCACATGGTCAAACCTTGCTGCACAGGATGCTGGAAAATAGAGTCTTCCTTCTGGCAGCCATCTTGCCACGAAGAGTGGTTGTTGTAGACAACTTGCCATCTCTGCCCAGTTTAAAACCCAGACCCATTGACGATCCGCGGGTTCCTGGGTGACCCCACTCCCTCCCAGCCCTGGATACTCCTTCACTTCCTGTCTGTCCTTCGTTTCCCAGGATCAGCTCATCCTGTAGGTCTCGCGTGATTGTTAGAGGCTCGCAGGAGCCAGTGACCACGGAGCGCCCCCGTGCTGTCCCAAGCAGCCTGCAGTTTTCCTGCACATGGGTCCAAGTGTGCTCAGCCCACACAAGTAACCTAGGGTGTCACTTCAACACTCCCTCTGTGGCGTGGTCAGCCATCACACGGCTCACGACCTTCAGGGAGGGCAGCGTTGCCAAGCTGGGTGCCAAACACAAATTCTTCCCTGAGGAATGTGTTTCCATAGGCCTGGAAGCGGGGGCCAGAATCTGCACCCTACAGTACCCGGGCCACACAACGTTGGCTTTACCTCGGTACAGGCTGCTCATCGCGTCTGTGAGGTCACACAAATGCAGTAGTGACCACCTGGTGACTGCTGCCTCAGAAGGCAAAAGGGAGGCGGGCAGCTGTTGTCATGTTTGCAGTTCAAGATTTAAATTTTTGATCTGGGTGTGGCAGCACAGGCCCGTAATCCCAGAATTTGGGAGGCTAATCGCTTCTTGGCCTTTTGACTAAAATCAAGTCCAGAATTTGGGAGGCTGAGGCAGGAGGAGTTCCAGGCCAGTCTGAACTACATATTGAGAACTTGTATTCCCCCCAAAAAATTATTTTAAATTATGACTTAATCCCCCCACTTCTAGCCCCATGAAATCCAGCAACAAGTCCTTTATCAAAACCTACAGAATCCACCTCAAATCCATCCCTATCCATCATCCTACACCCACCACCCTGGTCTGGGCCATGGTCCTGTCTGGCTCACCCCCTCCTAGGAGCCCTTACAGAGCAAGGGGAGGAAGAGGGTTCTAGGCTGGGTTCCACGTGGACAGGGGTAACCTACCTCTCAGGCCCCACCGGGAGGCCAGAAGCCCCAAAGGCCTCCTAGGAGAAGGTCCCCCTGTTCCCCTAGATCCCCAGGGTCAGTGAGAGCTGGGGCATCCCCCCCTGGGCCTGGGCCTGGGCCGGGAAGGCACTGCTTCTGAGTGGAATGTGCCCCCTGCTGTGTCCTGGGCTCTTGGTCCCATCCTCCCTGGGGGCAGGTGAGAATGGAGTGGGGAGGAGCCCAGCGGACTCTGATGACGCAGGAGTTCATGCACTGACTCTGCAGCCAGGCCTGTCCTTCTGGGCACCGCCCCATCCCCGAGGGTGCACAGGACAAGGCACCCACCTGACCCTGGGACTTTGCCCTCCTCCTGGCACGGGCTGCCCTGTGAATCCGCTTCTTCAGACAGTCTGTCATGGCACGCTCGGACGTCCTCGCGCTGACTCTGGCCGCCCTTCTGGCTGCAGGGGCTGGGGCTCCCGTCCATACTCAGGGCCCCCCGAATAAGCTGCTCCTCGTGTCCTTTGATGGCTTCCGCTGGGACTATGACCGGGACGTGGACACCCCCAACCTGGACGCCATGGCTCAAGCTGGGGTGAAAGCTCGCTACATGACCCCGGCCTTTGTCACCCTGACCAGCCCCTGCCACTTCACGCTGGTCACTGGTGAGTGCCAGCCTCTGGTGGGGAGGGCCAGCAGGAGCCGCAGTGAGGACCTAGAGCCCTGCCCAGGGGCCCCGGGGACAAAGGTCACAGGCCTCGCTCTACGAAGGGCCCCACAGTGACAAGGCTGTCGGTGGCATCGATGGAGGGCGAATAAAACACCCAGGGGCCACATTAAACAGCGTCCCGGAGCAGGGTAACAGGCCCAGGGCCTCTGGGGCGGCCGGTATGGGTCCTGGCCCACTTCCCCACCCTGCCGCCTCCTCCTCCCTCAGGCAAATACGTGGAGAACCATGGGGTCGTCCACAACATGTTCTACAATGTCACCACCAAGGTGAAGCTGCCCTACTACACCACACTCGGCATCCAGAGCTGGTGGGACAACGGCAGCGTGCCCATCTGGATTACCGCCCAGAGGCAGGTCAGGCGCTTCTGACAGGGGGACACCAAGAGGCGACAGGGCCCTGGGCACCCCGAGGCCGTGACCTCTAAGAGTTCGGAGCCCCAGGCTCCTGGCACCCCAGCAGAGAAGGGGTAAACAGAGGCCGGAGGGAGGGGCTGGGGCCGAGGACAGGCTCGGGTCACGGCCTTAGCCCTGTCTGGTCCTCTCTGGTGCCCTGAGATCACAGGGCATCGCTCTGCTGTCCCCAAGGGAGGGATGGCCTGCCCCTGGGCCCTTCAGCCCTGGGGGGACAGAGTCGCTGGGGGAGATCACTGAGGCTGCACGTGACAGTCAGCACTGAAGCAGCCACCCCTCCCGCCCAACCAGGAGCTGGGCAGTGGTGTCCAGCCAGAGCCCCGGATCTGCAGTGCTCCAGAGCCTTCCGGTGGGCCGGGGCAAATGGGAGACTTCAGGCCAAGCCCACATGGCCCCCGGGCCCCCTGAGCTCCTGCCTCCTCCCCAAGGCCAAGGCCAGAAAGCTGAAGCAGGGAACTGGGCAGTCCATGGCACTCCACCCGCAGGAAAGACGGGCAGGGCCAGACCGGTGAGGACAGGAGGGTCACAAAGCAAGCAGCAGTGGGTCTACGGGAAGATGGAGGCCAGGGCGGGGGCCAGACAGACGCTTGCCGAGATGAGGGTCCGGCAGGGCAGGCCAGCTGCGGTCACCAGGGAGGGCTCTCTGGGCAGCTTGGCCTGAAGAGAGGGACCCAGAGCCACAAGGATGATGAGACGTGGCGAGCTGAGGCCCCTGCGTCCATCACGTCACTGAGCGCTCCAGTGCGCTGGGCATTTTTATCTCATGCGTAAATTGGTTCTGGCCCAGATAATGGGAGACAAGGGCTACTTTAGAAAATAAAAAGCGTCAGGGCCACAGACAAGAGCAGAGCTGAGGGGGACACAGCCGCAGCGGGCAGGGGAGGTGAGTGGGTGCCGAGCGGGCAGGGAGACCGCGGCCTCAAGGCCAGTTTGCCTCTGCAGGGCTTGAAGACAGGCTCCTTCTTCTACCCCGGCGGCAATGTCACCTACCAAGGAGAGGCCGTGACGCTGAGCCGGAAGGAAGGCATCGCCCACAACTACAAAGACGAGCAGGAGTGGAGGGCGAACGTGCACACCGTGATGAAGTGGCTGACCGAGGAGGATCTGGCTCTGGTCACCCTCTACTTCGGGGAGCCAGACTCCACCGGCCACAGGTATGGCCCCGAGTCCCCGGAGCGGAAGGAGATGGTGCGGCAGGTGGACCGGACTGTGGGCTACCTCCGCGACAGCATCGAGCGCCACGGCCTCACCGGCCGCCTCAACCTGATCATCACGTCTGACCACGGCATGACGACCGTCCACAAGGGGGCCAGCGACCTGGTGGAGTTCCACAAGTTCCCCAACTTCACCTTCCGGGACATCGAGTTCGAGCTCCTGGACTACGGGCCCAATGGGATGCTGATTCCCAAGGAGGGGCTGCTGGAGAAGGTGTACGGGGTGCTCAAGGACGCCCACCCCAGGCTGCACGTCTACCGGAAGGAGTTCCCCACGGCCTTCCACTACGCCGACAACCCCAGGATCACGCCCCTGCTCATGCACAGCGATCCAGGCTATGTCATCCACGGGGTACGTCTGCTGGGCGCCCAGGGCCGGGGCTCCTCCCACTCCTACAGAAGGCAGCCCCGTTTCTTGCTAGCCCCCAGTCTGAGGAGTGTCAGCTGCCAAAGGCCGATCCCTGTGCGACGGGAGTACACATGCGCGTGTGTACTGAGGTGAAGAGGGGCTCCAGCTGCAGAGGGGACACAGGCCACAGGGACCAGGGGTGCTGAGCAGGAAGCAGAGACCAGGTGGGTGGGGCAGATGGGAAGGGAGTCACCCTCAGCTGCAGCCCAGAGGCCCAGCCTAGCCCCAGGCAACCCTGCCACGTACTAAGGTCGCCTCTTTTCAGCAGCTGTTCACCAAGTCTCTGTCTTTGGGGGTCCTGAAATTCAGAGAAACTGAGGCTCAGAGCCTCTCGACCCACGTGGGTGGGAATCCACAGGCAATTCTGTTGGGGAAGGGGAAGGGGCTCTGGGGCCCTGACCCGTGGACTCTTGGCACTGCCCCTAGAGAGTAAGTGTCCAGTTCAACCAAGGTGAGCATGGCTTTGACCACAGAGTCATGGACATGAAGACCATCTTCCGGGCTGTGGGCCCCAGCTTCAAGGCGGGCCTGGAGGTGGAGCCCTTCGAGAGCATCCATGTGTATGAGCTCCTGTGCCAGCTACTGGGCATCGTGCCTGAGGCCAACGACGGGCACCCCGACACCCTGCGGCCCATGCTCCGGTCAGGTGAGGGAGGTGCCCGCCCAGTGTGTGCATGGGGTGTGCTGTGCTCCAGGGGCCTGGTGGAGATCGGTGTGGTGCCGTCTGTCTCCCTCACCAGACCCCTGGCTTCCTACAGGGTCTGTTCTCCTGCCACGCAGGCAGCTCCACCGGGTGACGGCGCTGCTGGGAGCCCTGATTCTTCTGGTCAAGGTGGCCTAAAGTTCCCCAGTTGAGGTCAGAGGCTGGAAGGAGGGATGGTGGGACCATGCTCCCCAGCCTGACATCCCCACAGTGTACCTGGGCAGCAGGACAGCTGCAGCCCCTCCTCCTCCAGGGTACCCTGTGCTCCCTCAGCAGGGGAGCTGCTGGAGCTGGTGGGCCACCTTACTTCTCTGTGACAGGTCTGGGCCGAGGCAGAGAAAGGCAGGCATCCCTCAAGTCCTGCAGACAGGAGCCTGCTCAGAGCCAGGCTGGGGTCTGGGCTTGAAGACACAGTGAACAAGAGGGACCAGGCCCCACCCTAGAGACAGGGTCAGCATGGACAGGAAGAGAGGGAACCCACACCCAGTGGACTTGGGGTAGGAGCTGAGTGAGGAGGAGACAGTCACACCCAGCCCAAGGGTGGGGGCAGCCTCTAGGCAAGAGCCCTGAGGGTCTGCCTGCTTCTGGAGAGACAGAGGCAGGTGTCAGCAGGTGAGAAGGGTACCAGGTGACGTGCATGGCCCGCTGAGGCCCCCTCCACATGCAGCAGAAGCCCCGGAAGACACTCTGTGGGACACAACATGGCCGGGGGTAGCTGGTCACCTGAACACCCTGGTGCTAGGCAGGACCACAGAAATGGGAGCAGGTGGCAGCCAGTTAGGTGGTCACTGCAGAGGTCCAAGCAGAACACTCTGGTGGCAGGAGTGGAGGTGACACAGAGGACAGACTGAGGACACCTTCAGGAGGCCCTAACTCTCAGCTTGTGGAGAGACAAGTGCAGGGGTGAGGAGAAAGTACAAATACAGGATAGCCTGAGGCTGGGACCCAGGGCAGGCGGAGCCGCTGTGAAGACCTGAAGATGCCGGGGAGGGGTAAGGCCAGAAACCCAGGTCCTGCTTTGGTCTTGGCACAGCACTGGGGTTCACAGCGCCACCCCTCTGCCCTCCCCGCCAACCAGGAGGTGGGCTCAGCAGAGGGAGCACGGGACTTCACAGAAGGGGAGGCGAGCAGCGAGCGGCAAGCCACAGGCGCCCCAAACCTTCCCAGGGGGCTTGGGGACGGACCCCCTTCTCCAGAACACTCTGGCAGGGGCTCACCATTCCCGAGGTGCGAATTCTCCCACTGTGGCCGGTTTGTAGCTGCCAACACGAAGCCACCAAACTGCCCTGAGGGAAGTGACACACAGAAGCCACGCTGCTAAGAGCTGCGGTCATAGCATCCCCAGGACAGGCCCCTGCCCAGCTGGACGCATTCGAGGCCAGAGCTGCCACATGCTGCCAGGTTCTTCCCCAAAGGCAGAGCCTGAGGCTCTACCGAAAGGGAGGTGGCACTACAGGGCAGCCCTTGGCTGTCACTGACAGAGTCTGGACACTGCGGAGGACCTGCAGGGGAGTATGGGGTCCTCCTCCCTCTGAGGTCCCCCCCAGCCCGGAGAAGGTCCTGAGCCCCCCTGTGCCTCCATCCAGCAGGCCATCGGGAGTTTCCAGGGACGAGCCATGCCCTGTCTGACCGTTTCCCAGTCTCCCTGCCTCTGCTCCTCACCAGCCTGCCCCTCCCTCGAAGCTGACCCCTGTCTTCCAGGAAGCCTGAGCCAGGCCCCTGCCACCACGGTCGCCTGCACTCCAAGGGACTTCATCGGCAACCACACCCGTGTGCTCTGTCCCCTGCTGCATCGGCCCGGGCCTGGCCAGCCCAGTGCCCGCCAGGTTCACACTCCACAGCGACAGGCCTACTCACACATCCTCAGCCCCTCCGAAAAGATCCACCCCGGAAATCAGCACTGGGGTCCCCACACCAGGACCCCAGGCACTGGCTCCTGCCTCAAGCTCTGGACCTGCCACATTCACCCATGGGGGGCTGCCCAGCACACTGCACCCACAGAATAAAGGACCAGCTGCAGCACCACCGCACAGACGCTAAAAAGTTGCAGTAGCCACATGAGGGGGGGTCTCCAAACACTGCGGCCGTCCTGACTGCCTGATACTCCCCCCAACACGGAAGAAATTGCTAATTCATTCCTTGACAAACACAGTACACCTGCACGTGGGCCGAAACCCACTAGCCCAAAAAGTCACCAGGAAGGACACCTGCTGGCCACGCCGGCTGGGGTCCTCCTGGCCCGAGGAGTAGTCTCTGTCACCATGGGGGAGGGTCAGCAGCACCGGAGGTCCACACAACCTCAAAAGAGAAAAGACCTAGTTCAGAGCCCATGTCTGTGTAGCAGCCTCACCAGTCTGCTCTCTAGGGAGTGGGCCAGGGTACTTTTCATTTTTCAGTACTGGGAATCGAACCCACGGCATTGAGCTACATCCCCCGTCCCTAACAAACACACACACACACAATTTTTTTTTTTTTTTTTTGAGACAGGGTCTGGCTAAGTCATTAAATTACCCAGACTGGGCTAGAACTGGCGATCCTCCTGCCTCAGCCTCCCAGAGTGCTGGGACTACAGGTGTGGGCTACCACACCCAGATGCCTTCTATTTTTATGACCCCTTTCAATATTTAGTTGCTGTTACTGATTTACCATTTACATCTGTCTTAAATGTTTTTTCCTTTTAAAATTAACTTCAGTAACTAAGAATGCGTTGATTTAAAGAAAACTGTTGACTAAACACAGCTAGCTGGTGGACAGGACGAAAGAGTCAAGGGATCTCACACCGCCTGCCCCCCTCCCAACCCGCCAGCTCAGCCCGGAAGCTGCTGGGACACCTTCCCTCCACGCCCGCCCCGGCCAGAGCCCGACTTCCCCAGGCCCAGGCCCGGCGGAGACGCACTGCGTGTCCCGGGTGCCCTGCCCGAGCGCCTACCCTGGCACTACTGTACAAAGCGCACTTCGCCATCAGCCCACCTGAAACAGCCCCCAGGGAAAACCGGAGCTAAACAGCCAAGCCCTGCGCTCTGCAGCCACAGGGCGCTGACGCCGACACTCCGGTGTCATCCACACCCGACCGCGGCCAGTCCAGAGCTGCGGGAACGACGCCCAGGACCACAGCAGTTGCTGCGCTGCAGGCAGGGTGTTGGAGGAGCAGAAAGCCCTCTTGTCAGGCGGTCCTGCTCCGTCAGAGCTGGCACTGCACACTGTCACCAGGAGGCGGCGCTCTTGGGCTCCTCCGCACCCTATGAAGCCTTTTTGAAGCAGTTTCTAAAGTGCACAGGGAGAACCCAGGCGTAGGCTGGACGCCTGTTATCCTGGCACTTGGGAAGCTGAAGCAGGAGGATCACCGAGAGTTCAAGGCCATGGGGAGATCCTGTCTCAAAAAATAAATAAGGAAATAAAGTGTGCAGTGAGAGGATCCTGAAACTCCTATCCCTCCTTGCCGCTTCTCCCTCCTCCCTTACAACAGCACCCGCGCTGCGCTGGCCCTGGGGGAGGGAAGGATAGAGTTTGCTCGAGGTTTCAGATGGAACGCAAGTGGGTGCCCGTAGGTTCGGGATCTAGGACTTCCGGGACCAGGTCTTATTTGGGTGCCTCGGGGAGGGGGTTCCTGGCCCTGGGCTGAGCACCGAGGCTGCCCGGACAGGCGCTTGGCCCTCCGGATGCGTGCGCCTGGCTGCCCACCGGCCTGCACTCCATGAACTTTCCGCATGGGGGGTGACTGGGAGCCGGTGCCGCACAGCCTCCGGCGTCACTCGGCCGGCTCC